ATATATTCGATATTTCTGGTAGGTGACTTATTGCTGGGAATTGAAAGGATTACCGATCCACATGGAGATGTAAATATATATATAGGTGAAAAATTAAAGCTTCCGCCTTTTGTTGGGTACTTCGACAAAATTTAAATTCATTTTACACTTTTGTTGCTACTGTTATCATTGTAATTGCAGCTCCTGATGATGATGGCAAAATCCATTGAAAGCTAGAGATAATTAAAAAAAGTATAAAGAGTCCTCTTTGCTTAAATTTTGTCGAAGTACCCAACAAAAGGCGGAAGCTTTAATTTTTCACCTATATATATATATATATATATATATAAAGAGAAAATAATCATGTATATATATATGTAAGTGTATCGTCCGCAAATATTTGAATTTTGCAGTGTTCTAAAATGTCAGAGATATCATTTATATAAATAATAAATAGTAACGGCCCTAATTTACTCCCCTGTGGCACCCCTACTGATATATTTGAACACTTGACATAATAGTTCAAACTTTTTGATTTCTATTTACTAAATAAATTTGTAAAATGTAATACTGATCCTTTTAAAGCCATAGTGACGCAATTTCATTAACAATTTTTCACCCCTATCTATAGTCTCAAATGCCCTTTGAAATCAAAAAATATTGTTAGAATATATTCTTTCTCATCTATACTTCTTCTCCAGTCTTCCACCATCATTTGGATCACCGTTTCTGCGGAACATTTTTTCTAAATCCAGCTTGGTTTTTTATCAAAATTTTGGTTTCTTCAATGAATTCTATGATTGTTCGTATATTATCCCGTCGAACAGCATCTCGGCATCGGGCAAGACATTAATCGGTCGCATATTTGTTTGCAGCTGAGAATTTTGAACTTTTGGCACAAGAGGAATGGCGGAACACTTTAATTTTGATGAGAATTCACCATGTACTAAACAATGATTCACCAATAATAATAATATCTCTCCAATTATATTGAAACAATCATTTAGAATATTTTTTGGTAGATTCTCACTTGGATTTTTATTAGATTTTAATTTTGAGATAGCTTTTCTTAGATTGTTGATGTTAAAGGTCCTAAATTGATTCATTGATGAAGTCTGATGTACTTGTAATGGACATAACTTTGGATCACCGTCATCAATCGTCTTCACTATTTGATTTACAGTTTCTATAAAATAAGTGTTTATTCTTTCTACTATAATTAATTTGTCAGTCACTACCCCATCTTCGAAACGCATTTTAGATAATTCAGTCTTTCCATTAGGAGAAACAATATTCTTTGAGAAGTTCCGTTCAGTCTGCTACAAATTGAAAGTGTATTTCAAACCGTATGACGAGATTCGATTCAGATTTGCAGATAACGAATAAAAGTAAGAGTGCGGCTTACCAGGCGAGCGTCAGCGGAGGCAGCGCAGTGGACACGCCCCGTCGCATTGGCACCCAATCGGTGCACAGCAGTTCAGACTGGGAGCCAATCCACGTCGTCGCCGCGGCGTCCATCGTAACGCCCACTAATCCGACAGCAGGCAATGAAGAACAGGCCGCACACACCTCGCACGTCGATCTGCAGGAGAAAATCTACAACGTTCTAAGGAAATGGTTCGACGTTTGGAAAGGAGTTTTCCTGCAAGGGGACGTTTCGCAGTCCACCATTTATTTCCCTCTAGTTTCATTGTCGGCTGTAGGATCGCAAGGTACAATTGCACGTATCGGCACGGGTATAGTCGACGATTACGTCATTATTTTAGTCTGTAGTAAAGACAAACGACAGCGATTTTTGAATATTTTTAATGAAGTTTCAGATATGTTAGACAGAGACAAACAGAATTTAATTTTCCAAACAAACTGTATTGCTAATTTGTATGTATCCGACAAAGATAGACGGTGTTTTCATGTTGCTTGATCGATCATATTTGAAAGATGAATAGTTAGGTTATGTTGAAGCAGGTTAGGTTGTTTTCGAATAATACTTTGGTCTTTGGTGTTCTTCAAAAAAAAAAAAAAATAATAAAAAATACTTCCTCGCCAATTTTGACATAACAAGTAAAGAATATCAGGTTTCTGTAACAGCGTTTTTCTTATTTCTGTGCAAAAAAGTATAAGAATAGTGTCAAGCTGATCGAAATCCGCAGGCATCCAAGAAGCAGTAGAATCGGCCGTGAACAAAGAACACCCTCCTGAAATGATGGTGATAACTTTGCCGTTCGCGAACGTACGAAGCGCTCATCGGCAAAGCATCAAGAAGTACCTGAGAGCGCTCCCCGTGACGGTGCCCAACACCGTGTGGACCGAGAAAAGTTCCAGCTTACCATGGACGATCTCCGTATCCGATCTCAGTTGCTACACGGTGCAACACGGCAACAAACTCACTTTTTTGAAGCCGGTATCGCTCAGCGCCACCATAGGATTGACAACGAAACCGCCTAAGGTACACTGTCGTAGAAATATTGTTGATATGTAATTGAAAACTTTATATGATCAACTTATACATGACTTCAATAATGAAATCTGCTAAGCAGATATTTTTTATGCCTCCCAACAATCATGTTTTGTATTGTAACGAAAACATCGTTTTTGTTATTTACAATCTAATTTATTACTTTGACACTAACTTTATTTAAAATGTTTGCCTGTTTACAACGGGGTCACCGCAGGGATCTGTACTTGGCCCTCTGCTATCTCTAATATATACCATTTATCCGCCCTCGAGTATTGATAAAACGGATCCTGTTTCCTATTTTCAGCCTTATTTTTTGTTGTTGTTGTTGAAGATTTATTTAGCATTAATGCTACAATGTCGATTTTGTATAATGATTCGGTTAGATATTTTTCTTCAATCCATTTTCTGTAATTTTACATTTTGTCTATTAAAATTAAAACTACGTCACTATGTATTCTGGTTATTCATAAAGTGATTTTTAAATTTCACCTTAGACATTTTTAAATTCGAACTATTGTCAACTAAATGTTTCCCCTATTACATTTTGTTTTATTAGTGTTTAATTTAAGTTTATTGACATTTAGCCAATTCATAATTTTTTCAATATCACTATTTAACAGTTATAAAGCAGTGTCCAAATGCTTATGTGCTATATATATATATATATATATATATATATATATTGTGGATGTAACTTGAGACGTCGTCATTGTCGTGTAAACCAGTTAGGTGAAAAATTAAAGTTTCCGCCTTTTGTTGGGCACTTCGACAAAATTTAAGCAAAGAGGACTCTTTATATTTTTTTTAATTCTCTCTAGCTTTCAATGGACTTTGCCATCATCATCAGGAGCTGCAATTACAATGATAACAGTAGCAACAAAAGTGTAAAATGAATTTAAATTGAATCAACTTACAGTAGTATGTGAGGATGTTGCTAATTGTTGTTTTCGTATAGGATGAGGGAAACGTCCAGTAACATGGTGATAGCTGGATACATGGTAAAATGGTTAAAATTATATAAAATATGACGCAATTTCATTAATAATGTTTTCCTATCTATAGTCTCAAATGCCGTTTTGAAATCTAAAAATATTGTTACAATATATTCTTTCTCATCCATACTTCTTCCACCACCATTTGGATTGCCGTTCCTGTGGCATTTTTTTTTCTAAATCCAGTTTGATTTTTTATCAAAATTTTGGCTTCTTCAATGAATCCTATGATTTGTTCGTACATTTATCCATTCGAACAGCTTCTCGATATCGGTCGCATATTTGTATACAGCAATTATTACGTAACAGTCTATTTTTGAATGTTTAAACCGCGAATTTTGATGACTCGATTTGCTTTATGCAGGTAGAGAACCAAAGTGTTGCCGATACTAGCAGTAAAAGTGCTACCAATAACGAAAAAGCAGCTGTCGACATCGGCTACCTGGGCATTTGCGTGCATATCGACATGTCGCCGATCGTGGTGTCCACCTCGGAAGTCCAAGTCTATCTGTTCGCCAGCATACTCTATGGTCTTATGGAGGTAAACGATGAAGCTTACTGTTGGTAGAATTCGCAATATTTTAATCTACTTGGAACAAATTTTGTATGGGTGTTTTTTTTTTCGCTCAACGTAGGTAGCAACCAATTTGATTCCGAAGAAACAAAAACCTCCAAGTAAGGTTCCAGATGTGATTCCACAGGTGGTGCTCAAAAGTGGTTCTTCGATGGTTTCGCCATCGCAGACCACGCACAAGGATTCGAGTAGTGGAAAAACGGCGTCTAAACTTAAGAAACCTGACAATGCCGATAGTGATTCTATCAAACTGACAGCCTGGGTGCAATGGACAATCACTAGGTAACAAATTCACGACACTCAAATTCGCTGTGGTACAAACATTGGTTTGTATTCAGATTATCTTTGCAACATATATTACTGCAGTAATTTGTGTTTGAAACTACATCCTTTCTTTATACTGAGTTAATGTAGACTTCAATTTCAATAGCATACTCTTATGATTCTTTTCGTGAACATCTGATGTATTAGGTTCTTCAAGATGAACTATGTCAAAAAACTGCATGATGATTCTTCGATTTTTCCATTATATACTCATAATAGTGTTTTTTATGATAGGTTTACAATAGAGCTGCTGTCAAACGAGTGTAACACCGACCTTGAAAACGACCTTGAGTCTCAACAGCCCATGTTGAAGTTAGTTGTGGATGCGGAGGACATCGTTAGTTCTTTGGACCTTCAGAGCGTATACTTAAAGATCAAAAGCAAGATTGGTTCGGCATCAATACAGCATTTCAAGAGGTATCTACCTTTGCTTTCTGATATACACAAACTAAAGCATTACCGACGATTGTCTACTTAAGACAAATAAAAAGCGCTATGTAAAGAATTGGTGCTTGATCAGAGACACAGACACAGAAAGCGTCATTAACTATATTAGACATTCACCCAACAATTGTGTGGCCTCACATAAGTTTTAAATTGGAATCTTTTTACAAAAATTGTTTTTGTTATAATGAGGAAAGTATTATCTTTGTTTGGTTTCAGTAATTCGTTAATTGTGTTATGTAATAGATCATTTATAAATGCATCATAAATCTGTCTCCTTGCGAAAGAACGAGTATTCTCTATACAGGGTGTTCCTTAATGATATGCGAATATTTGAGCGTGTGAATCTACATGAAAAATGGATATTAATTAATATTTTCAGAACTGCTTCAGATATTTCACTGATATTTATATTTTTTGTTATATCCTTACCATATTTTAAGAGTATAGGCATTACTTCCCATTGATTTTCCAAGGCGTGTGACCGTTTGTCAGTGGTATCTTGAAAAAATTACACAAAATCCACAATTTGATTCAATGAATCTGTTCACCGACGAAGCTAATTTTTCTCGAAATGCCATTCAGAATTACCACAATAATCATTTGCGGGCAGAAGAAAATCCCTATGCCGTAACCGAAACTCAAACACCTTGTATTATTACTTTTTTGTTCATTCTATTTAGGGATTTGAAGTTTGGTGCCAAAAAAAAAATCCATTAATAAAGTTCGTATTATCAATTTTGAACGATGTAATTTCGTGATTGATTGTTGTCCGGTAGAGCGACCGCAAGTTCAAAATGGATGCCAGGTCCGTTCTCCGGCGCCGTGATGCGACAACGTGAAGACGTGGTGTCCGTGTCCAGCGATCAGCAACAGCTTCAACAGCAACGACACCACGAAGATAACGGTTTTATGTGCGTGACAATAACTCGAGCCAGCTGCCAGCATACGCACACGTTGTGGGGCGCCGGCGGGACCCCGTCGAGAGGTGCTCAAGGGAAGCAAGGCGCAAAGGAGGGAAAGAAGGCCTCAACGGCGAATTTACAGGCCGCTAGTATGCTGTCGCCTTCTAGATATATCACGGAGATCGTTGTCAACGTACAGCCGACAGGTAACACTTGACAAATAGTATTCGATAACTTAAATAAATATTACTATACGTTTTAAATTCGCTTAATAAGATGCAGCGGTTATACAGGTAATAAATGTCTGAATGACGCTTCAGTTGTTCAAAGCTGCTCGGAATATTTGAATTTTAAATTTTTTAGGTGTCGAAGAAGGCATTGAAGTCGAAAAATAGAGGGTGTTTCAGAACTATGGGATCAAACTTGTAGGGGTTATTCAGTGTAACAGTAGGAAACATTTGAGTATAGGGTTACCCATAGCCAACGCTTGTGTGTTGTTATCTTTAAAAACTATAACAGAGATTGTTTTTAGTAGCTGCATTACATATCGCCTGAGTCGTGCTGTCGTATTTGTGAAGTTTAACAAAAATTAATTGTTGCTAATGGAAAACTCGACCAATCAAGAATTGCCGGATGCGCATTTGGCATACGGAGCGACAAGCTGTAATGCACGCGGTTGTATCAAGAACGTTATCCCGAACGACAGCATCAGGGATACAAAAATTTTATTGCTATTCATCGGCGGCTCTCCGAGACAGGCATGTTTAGAACCAAGATGCGTGATACTGGCGTTGCTCGAAACGTAAGAACGGTCAAATTTGAAGAAGAGGTCCTTTAGCGAGTTGCCGACGAACCATCAAGTAGCCCACGTCACATTGCTGAGGATATGAATACGAGTAACGCTTCCGTCTGGCGGGTGCTACACGAGCAACAACTTTATCCTTATCACTTCCAGAAAGTTCAAGGATTGACTGCAGCCGATTATCATCCTAGAGTTCAATTCAATTTCGTCAATGGCTTCTTCATCAAATCGCTGCACAACCAATATTTTTACGATATGTTTTATGGACCGATGAAGCCTCTTTCACAAGAGATGGTACTTTTAATAGTACGAATAGCCACGTTTTGGACAAAGAAAATCCCCATGCAATTTGGGCAGGCATTGTTGATGATTATTTGATTGGGCCATACCTTCTACCGGAACGGTTAACAGGACCTATTTACCGACGTTTCTTGGAGGAACTTCTTTCAAAACTTCTTGAAAATGTTCTATTGAACGTTCGACAGGAAATGTGGTTTCTGCATGATGGAGCGCCGGCTCACTTTGCTGTACAAGTACGTGAGTATTTGGCTCAGCGGTTCGGGCACCGTTGGATTGCCAGAGGTGGAGCAGTTTATTGGCCTCCTAGGTCACTCGATTTAACGTCGCTAGTTTTTTTCCTGTGGGGACATGTAAAGTCTTTAGTTTACGAAACTACAGCAGAAACAGAACAAGACTTAATTGAACGAATTACAGCAACATTTGAAATCATTCAAAACGAGTATCAAATTTTTTGTCATGTCCGCCGAAATCGGGTGCGACGTTTAAACCGGTGGAGGTTGGAGGAAGACATTTTGAACTATTGTTGTGATGATATCATGTACAAAAGGCAAAAATTAAATGCATTACATCCTATTTAACGCGTCTTAGGGCCGTAGTGCCGTAGTGACACTTTTCCGGATATGGGTCCCTATACTCAAATCTTTTCTACTGTTACACTGAATAACTCGTACAAGTTTGATCCCTTAGTTCTGAAACACCCTGTATATTTTTCTTAATTTTGGCATATTCAACTATAAAATCCTGACATCTAACAAAAGATCTAAATATAAAACTTGAGGATATTCTGAAATTCTCCTTTTACTTTTCACGCCTACTGGCGAGGAAGTATGGGGTTGTCTAAAACCGACGCAGGAAAGTAAACGCATATTACAACAAGAAAAATTGATATTCAAATCAAGTTGGGTACTTTATTTTGAAAGTTCATTTATACCATTTATGTATGAAAAATAATATCGCTCAAATGTTCACCACGACTGGATTTACAGACGTCCACGCGATAGTCGAAATTTCAATGACATTTTGCAACATGGTCGGTTCTATGGCATTTATCTCGGCAATGATGTTGTTTTTGAGTTCTTGGAGGGTGGCTGGTTTGTTGACGTAGACTTTGCTATTCAAATATCTCCATAAAAAGAAGTCGAAGGGAGTCAAATCGCACGATCTTGGTGGCCATGGCACATTTCCTCTGCGCGAAATCACGCGATCACCGAAGAAGGACTGCAATCGATGGATAGTGACGTTGGTTGTGTGGCATGTTGCACCGTCTTGTTGGAAATAAACATCGTCCATATACATTCCTTCAAGTTGCGGCAAAAAATAGTCCTCTATCATCACGTGATATCGCTCAGAATTGACGGTAACGGCGTCCCCGGCCGCATTTTCGAAAAAGTAAGGTCCGATGATGCCTTTTGACCACAATGCACACCACACAGTCACTTTTTGAGGATGCATCGGCTGCTCTTGATACTCACGGGGATTTTCGTTCGCCCAGATGCGGCAGTTTTGCTTGTTTACCGTCCCATTCAAAGTGAAATGCGCTTCGTCGCTGAACATGATTTTTGATGAAAAATTGGCATCAATTTGGCGGTGTTCAAGGAGCCAATCTGAGAACGTTCGGCGCGAAAAATGGTCGGCCCGACGCAGCTGTTGCGTCAATTGGATCTTGTAGGCGTGTACATTCAAATCCTTGTGGAGAATGCGGAGCAAACTGGTTCTCGAAATGCCCAATTCTTGGGATCGACGCGTTGTTGATTGTTTCGGATCGTCTCTCACACTCTCCTTCACAACAGCAATATTTTCCGGTGTGCGAACGCTCCTTGGCCGGCCACAGCCTTGCAGATTTGCCACAGAACCTGTTGCCTCGAATTTACGCACCAGACGACCGATGGTTGTTTCGTTTGGGCGGTTGTTGCGACCGAAATGTTCACGAAGCACGCGAAACGTGTTTTTTATTTTTGCACCATTTTTGTAGTGCTCTTGAATAACTTTAATGCGGTCTTCAATCGAATACGACTCCATAGCGATCAATGGTAAACATTCAACTAACAAAATGACATGTCGGTGACAGAAAACAAAGATGGCGTCTATGCCAAATTGACGTTTACTTTCCTGCGTCCCTATTGGACAACCCTTTATTATAATCGCGAAAAATTTCAAAATGAGATATGTTTTTTGGGTGTTACATGGTATGCACATAACGTAAAATCATGTGTTTCATTTCCGTGGGTCTGTCTTTGAACTTTGAACTTTGAAAGTACCAGTCGGATTGCGATGAAATTTTCATACAACGTTACTAAGGCTAAGGACGAAAAAGTTTTGTAGTTTTTGAAAATCGGTCCAGCGGTGGTCTTCAAAAAGGATTCCAAAAACGAAAAATATCATGATATCTCAATCTTTGAAATATTTGCGCACATAATATTCCTCGGTATCTTGGAATGATACCTAAAACCATTTCTTGTTCTTTTTCAGACTTTGTGATATCACTGAACACGCTCCGCAGCTTCTATCTAGTGATCGCTCCCTTATTGGAGATCCCTCTATCCAGCGAGCCAGCACCGTTGACTTCCCCATCTTCATCCTCGACGCTCCTGCAAACTGTCAACAGCCAAGTTCTGCCGTTGGCTTACTTGGAATGTCAGGATATTCGAGTGGTGATGCCTTCAGTCGAACTGGGAAGTACCGGAGCCATGCATGACGTCATCATCTTACAGGTATCACATATAATAATGTTTAACAATTATAAATTGCGAGGCTATTTCCATGTTCGCTAATCTATAAGTTTATTAAATCGTTATATAATGATAGTCTAATTATATTAGACGAAAATACTCCTCGTTTGCAAAATAATTGTTAAGTATTATTTTTTGCTGAAACTGAAACTTGCTTGTATATTCTACGAGACGTCATATAGTAGTTATCGAAACTTGGATGTAATTTTGAAATATCGAATATATTAAGGTTCAAAAGATCAGCCTGACTCCATCAGCTGTGAATCCGATCTGCAGAACGCCGATTCGACAAGACATTTACGATCAAGCGGTACATGCCAGAATCCTCAATATACCGGGTAAGTGAACAAACAACAAGCGGTACAAATTTAACAGATATTGCTCTTTTAAAATGTCGAAAGCTATTGCTGTGAATTGCAGGTAGCGAAGTGGAGGACCGACAATACCAATTCGACATGTTGGGCATCTCAATCTCGACAGGCACCTGGGACGACATCGACGCCGTCTTCTCGCCAACGGGCACCGCTTCCTCTACGCTGCATCCGCTCAGCGAAAACCCCGCCTTGGAATGGAACAATCTGGAGCAAGGTCATCCGTACTTCCATCCCATCATGAATCTGTGGAACGTCACGGACAGGTTCGACATCAGCGTGGTCGCCGCACCGGCGATACTCTACAAATCGAACACTCTCGTTTGCGGACACTCTGTAGAAATCAACTTCGTATCGGACATCGTAGTCAACCTGTCGCTCAATCAGATCAAATTGGTACGCAGAGAATGTCTACATTTATACCTTGACTATGGCTTTCAAGCGCATTTGAAGGTCAAGATGGTATTCTTAAATGAAATCCGTATTTTTATCACCGGAAATGCAAACAGCGGGAAATTTTACGTTCAAGTGACTATGACCATCAACGTCGTTTGAGGATCGAATAAATGTTTAATGGGAAACATCTATTTTTAGTTTTAGGCATAGTTATGGTTCCTACTTGCTACTCTAGCAAAGCTATTCTGTATTCCAAATTCTAACCAAATTAAATATGTGCTAAAATACAGGGTGTTCCTTAATGATATGCGAATATTTAAGGGTGTCAATATACATGAAAAATTAATGTTAGTTTGCTTTATAAACTATGGTCCAAAAATGTTTCCTTACAAAAACTCGGGGTGTTGAAGTTTTAGGAAAAAAATGGAAATTAATTAATATTTTCAGAACCGATTCAGATAATTCACTCATATTTAGTACGTAGTGAAAGTTATTAAGTTGCATATTTTTCAATACCAAAAATAATGTTTAGCTTTAACAGGGTGACTTGTAATGTCACATATTCCTGTTAAGGGGTGATAGATTAGGTCAAAAGCAACCGATTTTGTCCTATCATGTCTCATCCAAAAGTTAACCATTTTTGAGTTGTTTGAATTTTAAGTTTTTTATTTTTTATTCCGATTTCAGACGGTTAAAATTGAAATACAAAAAAACTGCGTGCTTGATTTTGAGTTTTTTGTTATCGTCGCATAGCAGACATTCCAATAGTTCATAATAAGTAATAAAATGTGTGGCACACCTACCGAAATGTTTTTAATGTTTGATAATGTATTGCCAATTTTACTTCTTTGACTTCTATTGATTAAATAATTTTGTAATAAGTCGAATACTGAACCTTGAAATCCATAGCAATGCAATTTCGTTAACAATTTATCCGTGTCAATAGTCTCAAATGCTCTCTTGAAATCTAAGAACAATGTTACTGTAAACTTTTTTCATTCATATTTCGCCTCCATTCTTTCACTACCATTTGAATTGCTGTTGCACTAGATAACTTTTTTCTGAATCCTGCTTGAAATTTTGTCAATATCTTATTTTCTTCAATGACTTGTTCATATATGATTCCTTCTAAGAGCTTCTCGACATCTGACAGTACATTAATTGGCCGCATGTTTGCATATAACTCAGAACTTTTCACTTTTGAACAGGAGTAATTGTAGATTATTTTCCACTATCTCATTTATACTTTCTATAAAATAAGCATTCATTCGTTCTGCAATCAATATTTTTTGTGTTACTATACCATCTTCGAAGCACATTCTTGATAATTCATTCGTCCTACTGGGAGATACAATATTTTTTAGTGTCTTCCACATCATTTTACTGTTATTTTTATTGCTATCGATTTTGTTTTCATAATATTTTTCTTTCCGCTCTTAAGATTTGTTAAACACTTGTTTCTTGATTTCTTACATTGTATCCAATCTATCTCAGTTTGAGTGATCATAAACTTTTTATAATAGTCATTATCACGCGTCAATTTAGAGTCTAGAAATATTTGTGAAAACCAGAGTGTTGGCTTTTTCCTTTGATATACCACTTTCCAAATTTGTGCGTCTCTCATGCAGTTCTCCATACAATCCATAATTTTTGAGAAGTAATCATTAAAAATTTCAGTGATATTGGTTTGTAAGAGTGACTCTCGTAACGTTTCAAAGTCAATAATTGTGATTTCTCTTGATTCTCTCTCACTAAACATATTTTCCACCTCGAAACATATCCACGAATGTCGCTTATTTTTGGAGTATGTAAAACCTTGATACTCAAATTCTGTTCATTGGTTATTATAAAATCGATCTTAGCTGACGAACAAGCTGGAAATTTAATCATTTTACTAGTAAGGGAGACTGAACATACAGGGTGACTTCGAAGTTGAGTCATTTATTTTAACAGTGAGTAGATCTGATCAAAAGAAATGTTTTTTTCCTTTAACATTTTTCTGGTAAAATTAAAGTAACAAAGTTATAGCCCTTTAGAAGTTTGAGTACCGCCCTGTCTCAATAATAATATTATGTGCTCGTGTTTGGCGACAACGGATATAATCCGCCTTATCCGTTCATCGCATCGGAAAAAAAAGCGAAAGAATTTGAAACGATGTTTTTACTACAATGTACAATTTTATTCAGTTGTATTCAGTCGATGTGTCAGTCGATAACGCGTGAGTGAATAGTGGTGTTTGTTGCATGGCTCAAACGAAAAAAAAATGGCACATGTTTACGAAAATGCTGAATGTAGTACAAAGGGCTCGTGAATCAGGTGACTTAAGACCTCACAGGGGAGGGTATGCCGGTGCTCCAAGACCGCACGATCAAATACAGGTCCGCACTGAAATACTTGTCGGGAGGATACTTTATAAAACAAGGTAACATTTTTTTTTATTTTTTTTTTATTTTTACACACATATTTTGGTTTATCTTCCTTCTACAATCATTATCTAAAAATTAATGACTCAACTTCAAAGTCACCCTGTATATGCCAGAGATTCTTAAAATCGGATAAACATACGTAGGTGTTTGCCTTTTTTTTGTCACTCGGCATATCATAGTAGGAAAAAAATTGTATTATATTGTATTGTAACGTTACAGGTGTCAGCGATCCTGAGCGAATTTGCGAGCTTGGTCGAACCACTGCTTCTAGACGACAGCGCGTTAGCCAGACCGAAAATCATCTTTCCTTACTCCAGATTCGAACCGTCTGTGGACAACACCGTCAAATGGGATCCCCAGGAGATCATCCGTGACTCTGGCATCGATACGTCGGACATTAAAAGCGTCAAGTCTTCGTCCAGGGCAGCATTGAAGGGTTTAAGCGAGAGAGAACATCAGCTTTATAGCAAAAAACATAGCTCGGTTACCATGGTTAGTGTGTACTTCAAAAAACAAATTGTTCACTTTTACTGGCAGCTCAGTTTTTTTTTTGGAAAAACGCTCAGACCTGTCGATTTTGTTTTCGAGGGGGACACAAGTTTGGCAAAAAATCACGTTAACACATGCTGCCCCCTGGATGGGGGTAACACCAACCCTAAAAGCTTAAATGAAAAGGGAGATCGAGTGATACCTTATTTTAAAGGTCTTTCAATTCCCTTTATATTGATGTAAAATACATGAGCTTCAGTTCAGTAGTTTTAAAGATTTATTGATTTAAAGCTTAAAGTATAGACTTTAATAGGTACATCAGATTAGTTTGTACTACTTTCAGAAGAAATTTGACTAAAAGAATTTACTTAATAAGTAAATGCTTTTCTTCACTACGTCCATAGTTAGTTTATTATTTTGTTGTTGAAAATAGCTATTGGGGCGTTTTTTTTTTGGGCAAAACAGTTATTTCTTGAAGAAAGATAAGGAAAAATTTAATACATAGTTTGCGATTGATTTGACCAAACTTTGTTGCTAAAATAATTTGTAACGCTTTATTACATAAATTATCCATGGTATATTCCACAGCAGAAAGAGTTGAAATTATCGAAATATTTTTCGGAAATAATCAGTGCGCTATTAGAACAGCAGAAATATTTAATGAGCGACATGACAGTAACGTGCATCGAAAATATGTTCTAGAACTTGTAGCTAAATTTCGGGAAACTGGGTCAGTCGCCAATAAAAAACGCAACATTAAAAATCCCATAAGGAACGAAGCAATAGAAGTGGGGGTTTTAGGGCAAGTGTACGTTAAGTACCCGCAAATTGGAGACTGTGTGTGATGTTAATCGACGTACTGTCCAACGGATTCCAAAGGCCCATAGTTTTCACCCGTATAAAATTCACCTTGTACAAGAACTTAATGAAGACGATGTTGATCGGCGATTACAATTTTGTGAAGATATGAGTGAACGAATTATAAACGATAAACCTTTTCTATTCAACACTTGCTTTTCCGACGAATGTTCCTTTTTCTTAAATGGCGTAGTAAATCGTCATAACTGCCAATATTGGTCCGATTCTAATCCCAGAATTTGTCATGAGGTTCATACAAAACAGCCACACAAATTAAATGTCTGGGCTGGTATTTTTTGGCGGTCATTTAGTTGGTCCTTTTTTCTTACCTGGAAATTTGACCGGTGAAATGTATTTAGAATTACTGGAAGACGCCATAGATCCTGCATTAACAGCTACAATTGAAAATCAGAATGATCTGCGGTACATTGCGAATAGGTCAATGTTCCAACTGGATGGTGCCCCACCACATTACGCATTACGTGTTCGACAATATTTAGATCAGACGTTTCCAGATCGATGGATTGGTTGAAGAGGGTACCATTGAATGGCTCCCAAGATCGCCAGATTTATCACCTTTTGATTTCTTTATGTGGGGTCATTCAAAAAGCAAAATCTATGCTACTTAGCCAACATCATTAGAAGACCTGCGACAAAGAATTGGGGATGAGTGCCTTCAAATTACTCCTCAAATATTGCAAAATGTGCGGCAATGTTTTGAGCAAAATCTTTATTATTGCATGGAGAGTCATGGTGGCCATTTTCAACATTTACTCAAAACTACTGAATTGAAGTACATTAATTTTATATCATTATAAAGGGAATTGAAATACCTTTAAAATAAGGTATCACTCAACCGCCCTTTCCATTTAAGATTTTAGGGTTGGTGTCAGCCCCGCCCAGGGGGCTGCACGTGTTAACGTGATTTTTGCCAAACTTATGTCCCCCTGGAAAACAAATCGACGGGTGTCAGCGTTTTTAAAAAAAAACTGAACTGCCAGTAAATGCGTCTGTTTTGTTTTCGATGCGCCACTCTGTATTTGTCCTCACACGAGACAGTGTGTTTCTGAGATCAGCTGTGCCGACCTAGGTTTGAGAACGAACATTATATGCCAACCAAAAAGTATAGAAGAAAAACGCTTGCTGCGAAGTCCCGTACTGTGTTTACGCGTTGAAACTTGTACTTCATGATACATTGTTTCACCAGATTATCTATCGAATCACGTGACGAAAATATCACTGTGGATCTGCACCTTTAGGATTGTTCACAATTATACACAAATTCACCGTTTTAACATTGACTCGCCTTATTTTGGAAAGCTCTTCATTTTTTTTTCTAACATATACCTATTACTTTTTGTCATATTCAAATTGTTGACGGGTGTTTATTTAATGCATTAGGTGTACACAGCGGCACCCGTGGACGTTCTTTTCACAGCAGGCAAAATCGGACTGTCCCTCTACCAGATCGACGATGGAAAACCGAACATTTACAAGCAAAAGAAGAAAAAACGTCCATACAAAATCGACCCTGATGATCTTGGGTACGAGGCTGAAGAAGAAAGCGTTGAAGATAAAGAGCCTAAGAAATACAACCCTTTGGTATGTGATGCAATAATAATATAGCTTAAACATTCGAAGATTTTTTTTCTTTTGCATGAAAATAACATTTATATTTTGGAATGGTTTGTGTTTCATATCAGTTAAACATGTGTATTTTACTAATAAATGCTCTTTGAACTTTGAACCCTGTATATTGCTCAATAAACTACTAGTGTTGGACGGAAAACAGGTGTTTAGGGATAAACAAGTAGAAATTCTCAAAAAATTACTTGAGCAATATAATCCAATTTTGTTGTTTTTATTTAGAAGTACGAATCCTACGAATTTGAAGAATTTCAAACATCTGCGAGAAACTATCGCCACATTACTCATAAGTTCCAAACCTGCAGTTTGCCTTGGTTTACGGCCATATTTTTTTTACTATTAGTCGGATCTTTTTACATGTGGTCTCATTTTGTAGGTCGCATAAATACCTAAAAATCTTATATGAAGAGTTTTTTCGTTCTCATCAACACTTTCGATTGAACCCCAAAAAACACGTTTTCTCATTCCTTATTGTCGAATAAAAAGTTTTGCCACAAAAAGTAAAAGTAAACCAAAATAAATGCATCTAAAACAAAGTGTATGATAATATGGAAATACTATAGTTAGGATAAATAAATTTTTATATTTTCATTTAGAACATTACATGGCATTGAATAATAATTATTATTATACAAGAGGAAATATAGATTTCCTTTTACAAAAATGGTAAATGAATCTTAAACAAACGAACAAAATTTCAGGTATACATCTGCGTGAAACAGCCTAACGTGTTTCTGTCAAAGCACGCGGCAGGTCGCCGAATGCAGATCTCCTGCTACGACTTGAACCTGAAAATGCGCGGCCCCGAGTACCCCCCGGTGGGCAACGTCCCCACAGAGGACGATTACCCCGTCGATCTGCTAGAAACGAAATCAGGAGTTCCGGATGCGAACACCGGAATCCTGCCTGCCTTCTTCACGCTCAAATATATCAAAGCTGGCAGTAAGAATCACGGGCATTTGGACGTGAATATCGCCAAGCCCACTAAGGTTCTATGTTCTATGTCTAGGTGGAGCTATTTGCAGATCATCAGGTAAATTCACATAAAAGGGACATCCTAAGTGAATTTTAGATTTTTTAAAACATTAAAGAAGAAGCTTAATGAATTTTGTTTTTCTGTAAATGAGACACCTCCAGAAAATATCATGAACTGCTAAAAATAGAAACTAATTCCCAAAACATGAAAAGCTTTTCCCTTTCGTTTAAATATATAGTAATCGTGTATCAAAATTGCCTTCAAAGTGGATTTTGTTCCTCAAATTCGGAAGCACTGAAATGTTATCAAATACCTTGACTTAGTTTAACGTATTGATCATTAACATTCTTTCTTTTCAGGGATAGATTATTGGACACATTCAAAAGAACCGACAGAAATATTACGTCAGTTGTTGAAAAAACAGATATTTCGAATCTTCATCTCAGCATAAATAAAAGTGATACCTACACGAGGTTTCAAGAAATGAAGGAAATCCTGAAAAGAGTCAATTCGGTTAATTTGAAAAGTGATCAACTTGTATTTGCTTTCAAATCCGATGCTGGGCATGAGGTAACAACAATTGAACCGATCAACTCGAAATGCACTTAAGTCATATGTTACCAACATTCTTGCTCCGCTGAAAATTGGTTATATGCGTATCCTGGATATGAGCCCCTCAAGTCAATACAATACCATATTAAGTTTAATAAAATACTTGTTCATTTACGGATAACACAGCTTTCATTGATTGAAAAAAATCAAATTTCATGACATGAGTTTTTTGAAGTGTCTGGTTCATTTATACTAAGTGACATATAAATCCGAACACCCAGTTTAAATGGTTTTATTTTAATAAAATTTTGTACAAGTATTTAATGAAGCATAATAAGTAAATGATAAAAATTTCAAAATGATTGCACTGCTTTAAAGCCCTTTGACCTTTATAATGTGTGGATGCACCCTGATGTGCTACGCATTCTCCAACGCGCCTAGGCATGCTTCTGATCAGGTGGTCAATGTCCTCCTGTGGTATCTCATTCCAGGCAACCACCAACTCCTCTCGAAGTGCTTCTAGAGTCTGAGAAGGACGTTGCAAGTTGAGCAATCTCCTACCCATCATATCCCACACGTGGTCAATTGGGGATAAGTCGGGAGATTTTGGTGGCCATGGTAACAATGTGACATCATTATGTTGAAAGAAGTCTATTGTGACTCTTGCAACATGTGGTCGGGCATTATCTTGTTGGAAAGTTGGATCTGCCAGGGTGTCAAGATAGGGTAAAAGATGGGGTTCTAGAACTTCGTGGATATAACGCTGCGCGTTCATGTTACCTGGAACCATAAGCTATAGCACCCCAAACCATAACTCCAACAATGTGATGAACATGTCTTTCAACAAAAAACTGTGCATTCCTCCTTTCACCACGTCGCCTTCTAACCCTGGCACGACCATCGTGCATGCCTAAACAAAATCGAGACTCGTCACTAAAGACAATACTGTTCCATTCCTGATCCCAGAGTGACCGTTGTCTGCACCACTCAAGGCGATTACGTCGGTGTTCTCGAGTTAAAGGGAGGACCCAGTGTGGCCGGTATGAAAACAAGCCAAAACTTCTCATTCGTCGGGTAAACACTTCGCATGCCAATAGGTCTTCCGTGTTCTGCAAACCATTCATTTGCAATGGACCTGGTAGTGGAGAAACGGTCCCTTAAAGCCAATAATCTTAGGCGGCGATCTTCACGGTCTGTTGTTCTACGGCGGCGTCCAGTGCCCCTTGCTCTTTGCGTACGGCCTTCTCGAAGCCATGCCTGACAACACCTAACCACAGTGTCTACACTTCTTTGCATTCTAACTGCAATTGCCCGAAAAGAAAGTCCAGCTTCCCGAAGTCCCACTATACGGCCCCTATCAAACTCACTAAGTTGACGAAATCGTACAGGTCTCCGTAACCGATCGTAAAGGATGTCAAGAACCAAAATCCGCCAACGTTGATTCTGTACTGCGGCTGAATATTCATTTTTAGAGCGTTAGTGAATTAAAAAAAAGCAGTATAAAAACCGGAATGTCCAACTGATAAGGCTGAAAATTTTTTCACTTGTTATTTACAGTAAGATAAATACATTCACCAACTTTTATTAAAATAAAACCATTTTAAACTGGGTGTTCGGATTATATGTCACTTAGTATAATACCATATATTAAGTTTAACAAAATACTTGTTCATTTGCGGATAACACAGCTTTCATTGATTGAAAAAAATCAAATTTTGTGACATGAGTTTTTTGAAGTGTCTGGTCATTTATATTGCGTTCATGTCATCTTTTAGCCATGTCCATCTAACTGAATAATCATTGATGATCAATCGTTATTTTTAGATGGATCTGGCTTTGGAAAGGATCACAAATAACCTGACATTATCGAATAGACCTGAGAAGGTGTCAGTTGTATGTGGTTTACATAGTGTCACATTGAACGTTATCAGCAAAAACTTCAAAAAGATCTTACTCAATCCATGGACAGTCACGTTCAACGTTTCCATGTTCTGGGAATCCTGGCAAACAACTGATAGCAGTCCACAGGTCAGTCACCTGAGTCATACCTCTTAGGCCATGTAACAGATAACCCGTTTATAATCAGCTTCAGTATCCTGTTTTTAAATCTCGATACGATCATTTGGCGCGGAGATATCTGACCTTAAGTTCAGGTCATTTAAATGAAAAAGGATCCTTTTGTCCTCGACCTCAGATATCTCGGTAACCAGTGATCGCACAGAGAATGTATGTAGGTAAAACTGGAATAAATCTCCTATAAGATTTGAATGCAATCTTTGAGGTGTTTTTTTTTTGTTTCCTTAGTGCTGATTTCGAAAAAGTCACCATATAAGTTGCTTTTTGCCTTGTTATGCCAAATGATCGTATCGAGATTTTAAAAATAGGATATTGAAGCTCTCTAGCACATATGATGATCTAACAGAAACAATTTTTTAAGCTCGTGGAAGGAAGAAGGCAACAATTTTTCAAAACATTTTTCTTGTGCCATTTGTTAGAATTACATGCGAACCATTGCGTCTAGAGTTTTTTCTGGTAAAAAAACAGAAAACTAGAACCTTGAACTTGAAAATGATTTTTGTTAGAGTCTAGATACGATCTCATCTAGAAATATTACTACTATTGTTTGTATATTCTAGTAGTCTCCTGTGTACAAACCACTTGATTCCAGATCCAAATAACAGTGGAAAGCGACTGCATAATGTTGGACGTCCTGCCCTGAACAACTGAAATGCGTACAAATCGTGTCGAAGGACATCGTCGAATTCATATCCTCTTTCCCCTCTAAAGATGAGGGCAATACGAGCAGGTGCAGCAGTTCTGCATATTCGGCGCCTTCTTCTTCTTTGTATTCCGCCCCACCGCAAGTTTTCAAGAAAGTCTCGGACAGGGAGCAACATTACAAGGACGATCTTAGAGCCGGAGCGTTCCAGTTCGTCGATTCGAACACTGATAAACCTGATGAATTGCCGCTGCCATATCAGGTGAGCATATATCGCAGTAAAATTATTAAGTCTACGTCTAATTTTTTTTCAAATAAAAAATCCTGCTGTCTGAAAAAATGTGGGAAACCTATTTTGAATCAACCCTCATACAGGGTGTAAACGTTATGGTAGTTACTATTGAAGTGGGGTAAAAACAAGTCAAAAAGTTCATATGACGCATGTCCACAAGTCAATAGATTTTCGTCTAAATGGCTTTATAGTTTACAATTTTAAGTGCTTTATATCGACCGCAATTACCACAACCTTACTAATTTTTATAATCTAATCTAAAACGTTTCTAAATTGGGTAATTAACAATAAATGGCATTCAGTTTTTCTAAGTTAAGCCAAAATTTGTAGTCAGTAAGTTTCATTAAATTAAATATTTAAAACACACATGACAACTACGCGTCGGTCTTTCATCACTCTTATCGAACCGGCAATCGATCGCAAACGGTAACAATGGTTAGTTATTGTTCGCGTACGTCGTTGTGTTTATTTACAATGTTCTCGAATCATACCATAGTCCATAGAATTCTACGGGAAAATTTGCTTTATCCCTACCATGTACAACGAGTGCAGACCTTGTTACCAGAAGACTATCCTCGCAGACTAACATTCTGTCGAATGTCCTTTACGCGAGACGGGATATTAAATTTCCATAAGGGCCCAAGAAAATCCTCATACCATTCGTGAAGGTCATTTCCAACAACGTTTTAAATAAATATTTGGGCGGGTATTCTTGACGATCAGGTAATTGGCCCAAAAGTTGTTAGGAGAAGGATACCTTAGCTTTCTAGCCAATAACCTACCAGAACTTTTGGAACAGACCTTAGACAACATGTCATTACAACAGAGACAGAATTTATGGTTTCTTCATGACGAGGCACCACCACACATTTTTACAGGCGCCATTCAGTATCTGAGTGAACATTATGGGTCATATCAACTTTTTGACTTGTTTTGACTCCCCGTATTACCCATTTAAATAACGACAATGCTAACGTTTACAACCTGTATATCACTTTTATTTTTCTTCTAAAAGTACCTAAGCAATTTATGTAGATAGAGCGAATCCTTAGGTGATGTTTTGGAACAAATCCTCGTTATCAGCGATGGCTTGGCGTTATCCCCACCTCGAGCGTTGACCAAAGTTCGAGTATTCCCCGTGCCTTACAAAATGAGCCTCGGCTATCAAGAGGACTTGTGGTGGTGTGCCATTTGGAGTACTGGTCCGAGTGCAGGAATTGCTACCTGCCGTACACGCAGTTCTACCTCTCGGAGAGCGAAGTATGTCATCTGACACTTCCTCAGGGCACGCCAAGGACAGTACGTAATATTTCATTTTGCTCACTATACCTCCGTATCATACTAGAATCGTACGTTATATGCCGATGACGTTGAGTTTCATTTCTGTTTTAAGGAAATTTTGAGAAAATCAAAATCTTGGGACATGCTGGATCGAATAAGATTCTAATATATATATATATATAGTTCTAGCATGATACAGTATAGTCGGTAAACACAATAATGTTTAAAACTTAGTTCCACTATGCTTTTGAGTAATTTTGTAAATTTAAGCACCTGTCTGGTAACATCACTTTCGTAAATCAGTTTGGGGTAAAATGAATATGTCGAGATAGTTTTTAATTAATTTTTAGTTCTAGTCATCGTAGAAAATAATAATGTACGTTAGGTAGTGGCGTCAACGTGGCGAGTGGTGATAACAACCGTGAACGAAGGCAATAGCGATGAGATCTTTCAAAGGACGTGGTGATATCTCCTCGCGCTTTGGCAGCCTGCATGCGCATCGATTCCTATTTCGACAAATCGCTGATCCCGCATTTGACGGCCGCGCTTTACGTGACCAAAATCGAACTGGCCCTGTACAACTATTTCGATAAAGAGGCTCAGCATGCTCCCAAGATGCCCGATTGTCTGAAGAACTATACACCAGATTTGCTGTTTCCCGATATTCAAAGGTATGCGACAACCTCCATGCATGTTTGGTACCTGTATTTTTAATTTCTTCAGATACTGGGATAAGAACTTATTTTTTATGTTTTGGTACCAGCACCATTTTTGAAACAAAACAGAAAAATGTACCTATAAGTAAAACAGTTCCTGAACTTCTTACGGAGATTTGTAGTACTCACTAAAGTATTCTTAATATTCAGGTTTTCATGTATAATAAATCTATATGAGTCGCTTTCCAATAAAATCGTTTAAATCGTTTCAGGTTCATGTCGATCGTTTTGGAGAATCTAACATCGTATGGTCTGTGCTGGGAAACAGACGTGTTGACCGTTGAAGTGAGCTCAGCTTTAAAATGCAACGTCTTGGACTTGATGTATTTGACCGAACAGTCCCTCATTGATCCGTTCACGTTCAAAGTTGAACTCAGTCTAGCGGACAGTCTCAACTGTAACATCATTTCAAAACCGATACAGGTAGGAGAATCATTGAAACAGTCGATTTCGGATAACCCCGCAACCTTGGACAATGGAAAAGTAGCAAATCTGTTGTTTGGGCTGTTTTACTGTAGCTCACAGGACTCCGAAATATGAACTCCTTCTGAAGATGCCAACCACTCGTGTTGGCGAAACGTTAAAAATATTTTACGACCGCCTAACTACCCAAAACCGACCAAATAACATAGAATGATGGCCGCGAAAGCTTTCGCATTCCAGTTGCAAATCTACTGAATATCCCCGTTTGGTGCACGATTGCGCTGTTGCACTGTTCGTCGGTCGTTGCGCGACGGGTGGCGTTAACCATTTCAATTCAACAGCTCTTTTTACCGTGCTTGATCATGTTTTTCCACTGCACATGCTCAGTCGTTTGTAACCGTTGGAAATGTGCTGCTGGAACATAACTAATGATTACGAATGAGTTATATTTGATTCCAGATCAAGCTAGGTCCGACGATAGCGCACACGTTAGCCGTTTCCAGTCAGATGTGGAGTCAAAGCAACAAACCGAAAGACGCCGTTCGCGACTTTATCGTAATGACGAGATACGTCGTTTGCAACGACACCAACATGAATCTGCGTTTCGGCCAAACGGGGACCGAAGAAGCGATTTTGCTGGCCCCGAGGTGCTGTCATCTGTACGCGTGGAGGTCGCAGAGGAAGAAAGAGCAGCTCAAAGTCGCAATGGAGGAGAATGGATGGACGAGGTCGTTTCCGGTGGCGCAAGATGCCGTTCACACCATTCACTTCAATTCGGATAAAAATTATACGATCATCGTTACGGTCAAGTCGTTGTCTGCTACTCAAAAACAGGTAAATTCCTCCATGCTTCCAGTACGACACATCAAGTATTTAGACTTTGGCTTTATGTAGAAAATTGATATGGTAAGGTAAACACCGTTTTAATGTCCAAAGTCTCATTTATTACTTTTAAAATACAATTTATGAAAGTGTATAACCATGTCGACCGGACATTCCGCGTTGTTTGACTATGAGACTAACCGCTTTCGCCATATGGTCGGGTATTTATCCCCCTATCGACGCGTCGAGAAATGTTTCACCGTTTTCCAGATCAAGTTTTGAACTTCTATGGAAGTAGCCTAGATGGAAGCAGATTTCGAAAACGTTTTTTGGACGTTATATGACAACCGCTCAAATTTCGATGAAATTTTTACACAATGTTACCGCTATGCCAAGGTCGCGTAACTGGTTGCCTAAACGTCGACTCTGTAAGGCGACTCCTCGACACTATACGAGGGCGTTATAATACTTTACGATAATAAATCTTGCCTGACTTTTCAGGTAATACTTTCTGGCCAACTGATCGTCAGCAACACTTTGCTGGAACATTTGGACCTGAAGGTAGTCGAAGAAGTGGCGAAAGATAACAAAGAACTGGAATTTAAGAACTCCCCAACTTATATCGTGCCCGGCAGAAGTAATACTTCGTCGATTTTCATAAGCAGCAGAAAAAATTATTTTCTAAGGTTGAGGTTCTACGGCTTAGATTCTGCATGGACTGGAGATATTCCTTTAAGGGAACACGGTACCGGGTCACAACCGTGGCTAGTAAAAGGTGGGTTTCGGTTTAATCGTGAGATGTGTATTATAAAAAACTTCACACTAATTTATCATACACTTCAGCATTCATTGAAGCTCATACTCTTGAAGGTGTTTATGTATCTTTAAACTACATTAACATGCACATAAAAATCACATATCACTTGGATCCAAAATATATAGAACTTAATTTACTCTTGAAGAGAATGCTATACACAACAAGGATGTTTTCCTTTTATGGCGTATCAACTTATTCATAATAGTCTAATCATATTAGCAAATTTCCCCGAAATAATTTTAAAGTCTGGTTTTATTGGTGCGAGCTGTTCAAGGGCTTATATCAAAATATACGTGTTTACCTTGCCGATATGAATCGAAACCGTTCCGAAAGATAAATGTTATTTTTCTGCTAAATACAAAGGTTACGATTTTTTCTTCTTAAACATGTCGTATGTGTGAGTAATTGAAAAAATGCGCTACGATATTCGAAAAACATACGTTACTATACACATTTTAAAACAAAGCGTATGTGTCTATCATCTTTTGTTGTGAATTATTCACAAATACGAAATGTTTGAATTTGTTTAAGAGAAAAAACGTAACTCATCCTTTTTTGCATAAAAATAACATTTATCTTCCGGAATGGTTTGCGATTCATATCGCCAAGGTAAACTAGTTTATGTTGTTATAAAATGCCCTTTGTGGTTATTTAGAAATACAAATCCTACGAATTTGAAAAATTTCAAATATCTGCGAGAAACCATCGTCGCATTACCAACCAAATACCAAAACCTGCAGTTTGACTCGCTTTTCGGCCAACTTTTTTGTTATTAGTCGGATCTTTTTACGTGTGGTCTCATTTTGTAGGTCTCGTAAATACCTAAAAATCTTATATGAAGAGTATTTTCGTTCCTGCCAACAGTTTCGATTGAATCCCTTTTTCTCATTCTTTGTTAACGAATAAAAAGTTTTCCCACAAAAATTGGTGTACCCATTTTATGCGTCCCTGTTTTGAATACCCCCTTAAATAACTTGCAGCAATAAAACCAGCCTTTACAATTATTTCGCAAACCAGGGGAATTTTATTCTAATATGATTACAGTATAAGTGCTGTGAATAAAGATTGTTTATTATTTGCAGTGCCTCTGCAGGAACGCGGGCAATTTCTGAGCATCTGGTGTCGCATCGTAACCGAACAAGTGCACAAGGTGAAACGCACCATGGCCATTTTGTGGCCGCTGTTCTCTGTCAAGTCGAATCTGCCGATCAGTTCGAACGTTCACATCGAAACGCCAACGTTGAACGTTCATCTTGACGCGGTGGTCAATGGCAAAGGGGAGTTGCAACAACTTTATTGTCCAGGAACGATCGATCACTCGCATCAATTAACTTTCAAGATCGAGTAAGTATTTTCTGTAAAATTAGATGTTACGTTTTACCAAGTCCATCATATTTGAGCGCAGTCATTTTACGCTCTGCAAAATATGCAAAACGGGAAAACAAATGTTTAATTTCATCACAAAATGTTGTACATTCCGAATAGCTGAAAACAGCAGCTGCTGCAGCGGAATTCATCTACCTATGTAATAGAACACCTGAGTATTTAAAACAAATAAAGCACCCTCAACATTTCAAAATGAAATTAAAAAAATATTTATTGAATCTGTAATATGGTGATAATGTAAATGTTCAGTTGTACCATTTTGTTCATGAATGTTGTTTTGTATTTTCAATTGTCTCTTTATAAACCTGCAAAAGTTTTTTGGGATTGACAAGGTTCTTATATTTTTTCCGTATGACTAAATTATGTTCAAAGTTTTATTTATAAGCATTCCGTATTGATAAATGAATGTACATGTATGCAGGGTGTTCCTTAATGATATGCGAATATTTAAGTGTGTTAATCTACATGAAAAATTAATGTTAGTTTGCGTTGTAAACTATGGTCCAAAAATGTTTCCTTACAAAAACACGTGGTGTTGAAGTTTTAGCAAAAATAATAATTTTTGAATTGCCCGTTCAATTTAAAACAAATGATCTCTCTTGAATTGTTTTCCTTCGATGCGCCATTTTTTGAGTAAAAAAATAAAAACCGTTCTATTGTCTAACTTATTAAATCTTGAATTATTATTAATTTAATTGGAAAAATTAACACATTAGGGATAATGAACAACAACAACTGACAACATAAACATAACATTAAACCAACGAAATGATTACAAAAATTTTTGAAACTGAAATTACTGAAAAATGGCGCATCGAAGGAAAACAATTCAAGAAAGATCATTTTTTTCAAATTGAACGGGGAATTCAAAAATGTATTTGCAAAAAACCATTGGCGTACCATTTTTTTCTTGAAAAATATCGAACTCAATACCCGTACGCACGCCACTGTTAAAGCTCAACATTATTTTTGCGTCGAAAAATATGCAACTTTATAAACTTTCGCTACGTACTAAATATCAGTGAAACATCTGAAGCGGTTCTGAAAATATTAATTAATTTCCATTTTTTCCTAAAACTTCAACACCCCGAGTTTTTGTAAGGAAACATTTTTGGACCATAGCAAACTAACATTAATTTTTCATGTAGATTCACACCCTTAAATATTCGCATATAGATTTTATTAACATTTTGTATTTGTTTCTAGCAATTCCGATCCAATAGCAAATCCATATGTCCCACTGAATTATACCCTAGTGGATCATCAACATTTTTTTAAAAAACCCGAAATTAATAGTATCGAAGATATCTTGAGTGAACTGAATCAATTCGATAAATCGACTTGGCCCTATTTTGGAGACGAATTAGACGAAATTGATTGGATCGTTGCCGATCAACCGTTAACGCATGTACAAGTTAGTATACCACAAACGAATAATTATTTTTTTATCAACAAAAATGTTTAATATGTTTAGGTGAGATACCGGAACTCTTGTCAGTACTCGTGTTCTCTGTTAGTAGAACTTCTGCCATGGTGTTTGACAGTGAACACTTTGGGCGTTCCTATCACCATCAATGTTAGCGGCATCGAACTCTGCAAAATACCACATTATGGAATCGTGGCACCGCCGAAATTAGAGGTGAGTACTTATTATAACGAAAACACCGTAAGTCCAATATATAAATTCTCTCACACTAATTTATTAAAACACTTGCAACTAATTTATTGCACATTTGTGACTATGTTATAGAAAAAATAATAGTAAAAATAGTCAAATTAGATTGAAATATATGCTGAACAACAACAAAATTATTAGTGACAACCAATTTGGATTTCAAAAACAGAAAAATACCATGGACACGATTTTCACATTGCTCCAGCAGTTAGGTATACTCAAAGCTAAAGATAAACAAATTTTAAAAGCTTTTTTGCGACTTTTCCAAAGCTTTTGGCTGTGTAAATCAGGATAAATTATTAAAAAAATTAAGCAAACATGGCTGTACTGGACTTTCACTTTGAAACAACGCAAGAGTACCTCAAAGATCAGTATTAGGTCCTATCCTATTTTTAGTTTGTATCAATGATTTGATAAACTTAACATAAATAACGACATTTTTTATTTATTTCGTATAATATTTTAGGAGAATTTTAACATAGGCGTTTGCTCTGGCGGTACTTGGTGTTACACGGAACCTTTGCAGTTGTCCAAATCGGACTGGAGTCAATCTTTCTACATGCCTAAATTCACAGGAACGATACCTTTAGAAGGTTGTATCAAGTCCCCGATTATATGCGATTCGCATATCTGCATGTTATCCGTCACTAGCACCATCAAGAATGAGATTAGATTGCTAAAAGTCTCTTCCACGCATGTACTGTCCAATCATATGGCAATGCAGGTAATAACATTCGTTTGAGAACTGTACCTATGAAATATACTTTGTTTGTTTGTTTCAGATTTATTTAGCATTAATGCTACAATGTCCATAATATCCATATTACACAGTATATCACAAAATATATTATGTCTTCAAGACTACATTTTTATACAAAATTTCACTACTATGAATTCTGGTTTTCCATGAGATATTTTTTCAATTTCTCTTTGAACATTTTCAAACTGACACACATCTTGATATCATTAATTAATTTATTAAATTCGTACAATCTCTTTTGAAATACTGACTTGCTCGTTATATTGCTACTGCAGTTTTGTAAATGAAAGTTTATACTTCCTCTAGTAGAATAATTGTGGCACTCATTGTTCAATACAATAAAATTTTCTAAATGATTTGGTAGAAGATAATTTTTCAATATGAAAATGAAAACCAAGTAGACTATGCAATTTTTGATATTTAACCATTTTATTTCTTTCAGCATAAAATTTATTCTAGTATATTTATTTTTATTTAAGATGATTCTCATAGCTTTATTTTGTAATATTTGTAATTTTGAAAATACAGTTTCATTTGCAGTCGAACAATATAACAAATGCGGACAAATGATAGTGTTGTACACAATTTTTTTAGAATAAACGCTTAGGCTATGCGAAATTCTGTAAAAGTAATTTCTTGGATTTTTTTGAAATAATATATTCAAAGTGCCCATCAATTTTAATTTACAGTCTACGTATATGTCCAAATACTTAAATGATTCGATTGATACAATTCTTTCATGATTAATTTTAAGAAATATCGTATTTTGATCTAAAGATTTTCCTATTAGCATATTTTGTTTTGTTTGTGTTTAGTTTAAGTTGATTTACGTTTAATCAATTTATTACGTTCTTCATATCATTATTTAACAGCTCTATTGCTGTTTCAATGTCTTTATATTCGTTGTATTATTAATGTATTATCAGCAAATAGTTGAATTTTGCAGTGTTGTAAAATATCAGCAGTATCGTTAATATATAAAATAAATACTAATGGACCCAATTTGCTACTCTGTGGCACACCTACCGAAAGGTAAACACCGATTCCGATCCGATAATTTTGGCATATATGTTCAGTGTCCATTAGTAGTAAAATGATTAAATTTTCAGCTTGATTCGTCAACTGACTGCTTCTTTATCATCAAACAAGCACGCAGCCACTACAAGAACTTAACAGAAAAAGTTGACCATTTTATCACTTGTTGGCAACATAAATCGATATGTAAAAAGTTATTGAATTCTAATAAACATACGTAGGTTTTCACCTTTTCTTGTCACTCAGTATATTTCAAACAATATAAATATAGCTACGAACAAGCATAATCTAAAATTAATTGTAGGTGCAAGTGATATGCTTTGCCGTTCCAGACGAGGAAGGGAAATTTGATATTCCAGTCAACATGGAAAGATATTGCTTTACTGTCGCGCCACATTTGGATAAAAGGTAAATTTTGTATTTTTCTGAAATTATTTCAAATTCGATTAAGGAAAAGCCTCGCTTTTCAAGTATGAAATGAACTTTCTAGACGGATGTATGTACATTTCAGCAATTCCGGCATCTCTGTGATCCAGTGGTTCACGTTGACATCTGCCGCATCATCGAAGAGCAAGGATCCGCACGCGATAAACTACGCCCTGTACATGTCCTTTTCGATCGACGATTCGCACTCTCCGCACGGTTGGTCGAGTCCGATTCGCGTCGACAAACCGCTGCTAAGGAAATCGTTCGCGCTTCGTACCGGCGACTACTCTATTCCTGTGGTGCTCACCTCGCAAGATAACAAGGGACAAACGGTCTATTTGACCATACACGAGGATGATAGGCCGCAACTGTTTATCGAGAACACCACCGGGGCTACGCTGTTCATCGCGCAGGCTTTAGGTAATCATGACATTTTTGTCTCGTGGAATAAAAATCTCACTAAAAGTGTTTCATTGTGGAAAAAGCCGTCATATCCGGACCGACATGTATGTACATAAAA